AGCTGAACTACTCAACCTTAACAATGCGCAACCTCCTATTATGGAATACCATTTTAGCGAAGCGCAAATGCGTCAGATATATAATGCTATTAATCTTCTCGAGCAAAAAATCGAGAAGAAGCTCGATGCTATAATAGAGCAAATTAAGCCAACGCAAACTATTTGCGTATTTTGCCCTAACGACAATTCTCACGTATCTTATATGTGTCGTAATGATTCAGATAGTATTCAGAGAGCTAAAAGGCTCACTAATTTGAAGAAGTGTATAATGTGCCTTAAACCCGAGCATACGTCTGTCTGTATGATAAAGTGCGTTAAATGCAAGGGACAGCACAACCGTGTGTTGTGCAATTCGCTGAAAAGGCGGAAACTTTAAACCGCACCATTGAGTGCAGTATATAAACGACGAGGACCTTATTCGCTATCATTATTCGCTACTTTAGTGAAGCAGACACTTAACTTCTACAAACTCTCAAACCCAATATTCAATGGAAGATCACCAAAAATCTTCCCTTATTAAAAAATGTATCATTGCCGGATCTATCAAGATAGGAGATTTTGATAAACGTTTGGAAATCATGCAGCAAATGGAGCGCCATTACGCGCATCACGTTTTCGAAAGCCACTACCTGATGAGAAGACTAGTCGTGCCGATTCTAATCAAGGAAATGAAGGAAATAGAGAAGAGCCGTTGGATGGGAAATGGCATTACACCATTTGAAGCTGATTGGAGGACTCTCATTTGGAACTGTATCCGTCGTTGTCGCCGCAGTGTTCTGGAGCAGAAGAAACTGATCAACAACGCCACCTGTCATGATGGATCACCGAGGAAAAGTATTTAACCACACATTTTAGCTTTAAGTTTTAGTTTTTCGCTTGGGTTGAATTCATTCAACCACAACTATTGTTCTGCTGATTTCGTCTTATTTGTATTGCTTGTAACTCGTCAATAAACCTTCGTCGTTTACTTGTTCTTGTTTACAATATCATATCGTGAGTAAAGAGCTCATACCAAAAATCTCTTATCCACTGAACCGCCACCACA